CCAAAAGAGGACACAACTAGAAATCAGTGGTTAAGATGTATTTACAACACTGTTCCAGAACAGTTCAAACCAAATATTCAGATGTGCGAAATGCATTTTACAGAGGACGAGGACTGTTTCCTGGGCGAGTAGCCTACAATGCCGGTGTTCCGGTGAATTCATTTCCCCTGTTTCCCCTTAGGCGCGCATACTGACCACAGTCTATGATGCTGACAAATAATGCTGACTCACAGCCTGTAGGATTTCATATTTAAAGGATTTGCCACTGATGATTCAAACGCGAGTTTTGAGCAGTGTAGAGTAGCGCTTGTTGTTTGTCATTTCTCTGATCACAAATGCAGACATGGTTTTATGTTTACGCGGCGCGATACGCAACGCAACGCGTAAAAAGACAGTATAAGTCATTATAATCAGTAATTATGTCCCCACTGGATGCAACAAATGCCTCGTTTATAATGGGTTTTATTGGTTTTGTCTCGTTGCGCCGGGACACGGCATCACAGTATGGTAAGGGGCGTAACATTTCCGTCACACGCTTGAGGTATTCGGCCAATCACAATGCACTAGATAGCTGGCCAATCAGAGCACACCTCGCTTTTCAGAACGATGAGCTTTGTAAAAATCGACGCGTTTCAGAAAGGCGGGGCATAGAGAAGAAACAATAATGTACAGTATGTGGAAAATAATGTGTTTTTTGAACCTTAAACCGCATAAACACATTTCATTACACCAAATACACAAAATAATGTTCTTTTTAGCAACATCATATGATCCCTTTAATAGTGAGAATTGGACCCTATACTAAAGCGTTACCGGAATGTTGATCTGACGTGCATTGTAGCTGCGCAAAGCAAATACATTCATCCTCTGCAGTATTCTCCACTCAGTTGTAGTTTCCACACATACATTTACATGCAGATGAGTAAAGTATAGTATTTCACTGTCATACTACTGATCCAGTTGAGGCTCACGTGTGTGCTGGGTCATAGAAAATATAACTATTAGAACTGAATGACTGGAGTCTAGACTCGGACAGGAGTGCTTTCAAAATCCTTGTGTCTGTGAACCTTACCAAAAGACTTTGATTTCAAAAGACATTCGTTACCATTGATGTGGCATGTTGTTGCCATGATTACTGATTCATTGATTCCAGGAAGCTTAAGAGTAGTGTTCATCTTTTGTTTGAATAATTAAGCAATGAAATACAATTAAAGTTACTTGCTTACTCACCTACTTACTTACTTACTTACTTACTTATGCATTTAATTATTTATTTCTTACAATCATCTTCAGTTTTCCCAATGTGAATTGTGCATATATCTTTGGGAATGTATTATTTTATATATAAATAATGTATGCTGAATGTAAGAATGTGTAAAGAATGTATTTATTCCTATTACATTAGCCAATACATTTTCTGGAAACTGTGGCATAATGATGCAAAGCATTATTGATTGGTTTGTCGCTTTCAGCATATTTCTATTGACATATTGATGCTTCCAAGACTACAATGACATGATATAATTTTTTGATGCTCTTTCTCACTGACCCTGTGCCATTGGTGTTGAGCCCTGCAAATTGAATTAACTTTTTTTCTTCCATGTTTACAGTGTATATTGTGCAGTATTTGGATATTAGTATTTTTGTTCAAAAACAGCCAATGTCAGAAGTCTGGAAAAGTGTCCACTGTCAGGATGCACCAAAACTTAAAACCTTTTAACAGTCAGATATTATCCTGTCTTTTTCATCTCAGAAAACCAGGACAGGCCGTGCAGGGACACACGTATGCGAATGATACCCAAGAGCTGCTCTTTCTGGGTTAGGGAGGGAGTCACACCCCCCTAAGTGAATTTGTGTTAGATGCATACTGAATCTAACAACATTTAAACTGAACAAATATAGTAACTAAGTTTTTTGTTTTTCCAGCACTGGTTTTAGAAAAATAGCTTTTAAGCTGTCGAATGATCAATTTTAATTGTGTGCTATGCATTAACATGCAGCAAATTTAATCATATTTCAAAAATAAACCAACATATATTTTGTATGTCTTTTTTTTATCTAGTGTGAAACCTGATACCTGAAAGGTTTCCCCTCAGACATGTCTGGAAAGAAATGTCTCAACAAACAAAACATTCAGTCCAAGTCAAGAAAGAAAAAAGGTGGAGGTTTCCTATTCTATTGGCAGTTGCATTTGGCTTTCATTATGTTCCTGCCCCAGGCGTCTGCTGGCCTGTGAGGGAGCCAGTGATTTGGTTTATAGAGATCATATGGCAAGGAAACAGGGCTTGAAAGATGCAGCTCCAAGAACCAGATTTGATGAATTTCCTATGATTTGGCCCAGGTTTATTCTATGCTGTTGTTGAACAGACACCCCCATAGCACACGCGCCGGGGATGAGCAGCGGAGAGGGTCACTTAAGCTACAATGTGGGCTTTGTTTTCACACATCTTAAATTGAATTTCCTATCAGGACAAGAGGTCCTGTTAAGTGATCCAGAATTTTGCCAGGAAACCACACAGAGTGAAGGTTCCCTTTGTCATTAACAATTAATATAACCGCCATCAGCTGCTGGATGTGTGGATTCGATCAAATCTTATGATTAGACTATATTTTGTATCGTATAATTTGAAAGATGTGAGGGTACAGCGGAGAGACATGCTCACTCGTTGCATTCTAAAACCTGGTTTATCTCAGAAAGAGTCCTTCCCTAAACCAGGAAAAGTTCACGATTTAAGTTCTTCTTTTCACTGTCTCGCAAAAAGACAATCACCTTACGCCCATCTGCCGGCTGTCGGCCTTCTGCTAGAACGAATGCCAGTCTTCATCAATGCGACTGAAATGTCATCAAGTAGTTTAATGCTCCTTAATATCGCTGTATCGTTTACATTCCCGAACATGCTAGAAATGAGTCCCAGCTGGGGATTTTTGGAAGCCCAGAGAGAGCGGAGGGTGGGTGGAATTGACAGGCTATTTAGACGTACTACTTCACTTTGCATTAAAGTGTACAATATCAGGCACAGAGAGCCAAAGTAAGGCCAGATTTCAGGCAATGCTCATTGAGCCTGGAGTGATGGATCACTTACCTCAGGAAATCAAAATCAATTGTAGAGGATCTGACCTGGAGACAAGCCCAGAAGCCATATGAAAAAGTGTGAAACCTGTAGAAAGAAAAGAGTGACTCATTGAGAAAATCCATTACTGCTCGAGATGCCAATACGCATAAAAAGAGCTGTCTTGTTAAATCCAACGGTTGATAAAGCAAGGCTTTGACTTAAAGAATTGCCTCGGGGCACCGGTGATACAAGGTAGCAAGAGAGATGGTTATTGATACGAGGAGATAGTTTAGAGAGTCGCTGCTCGCTGCCTCACAGGCCTTCATGTCTAGTGCCAAGAGAAAAAGTCAGAGTGAGACGACAGGCTTTCCCTGTGGCATACTTGGAATCAAAGCACAGCACGGGATTCTTGTTTAATACGGTAAAGAGATACACAAACAGACCGAATTGCAAGAATTTCCTCCCTTCAAAAGTAGACATTTCTAAATCATCATCATTAGAATGTAGGCAGATTTATGCTGTTTTTTTTTCTTCTGCCGCTGTCTTGCATGATTATAGGGTGTTTGACATGAACCCTCATTGAAACTGTTACTGTACCAATAGGACACTTAGACTGAGCTCATCTTCTGCTTCGTGTTTATGGCAAACATCCTCATTTTCCAGCTTGACTTCTTGTCCCTCTTTCATAATGTTTTGCAGTTTTACAGTAGCTCTCAATCTGGTAGGAACAGTAAACTACAGTATTTGAAGAAATGCCTTTAGTAAACCGATTTGAAGTGATGTGCTCAAGATGCTCAGATCGGCTTAATGTCGGTCTCGATTGTTGTTATAGAAGACGATGGTGCCCTTTACTATCAAATACGTCAATTTTGGAAAAGAGGACAGGTATTATATTCCCTCAGAGATGAGGTTTGAAGCATCATCAGGTGTGAGCCACCTGTCTGATAACCTATGACCCTTTAATCGTCTTTGCTCTCTTAAGCTCGTGGCTCCCTCAGTAGATTTGTTTTTAAATCGCTGTGATTGTTTTTTTTCTTCTTCTCAAAGCTCTTCTTTTCTCATCTCTGCCCTGCTGTGTAGTTGAAACTCAAGTGCAGCCAAAACAAGCTTCAAATCCCCCTATATTAGGACAAGTTCGAAAAAGACAACTTAATCATTAATCCATCCTCTTGCAACTCTTTACTATTTTTCACTTCAAAGCAATATAAAACCAAAAGAAAATGACTATAAAATTGTATTTCTGTTGATTTTTACATGACATCTATGGCAGTATGCCCTGTAGTAGATTATTTTCATGTTAATCTCCATTCAAAGTCTAAGCAATGGCAGATTCACTCAGTTTGTTACTGCTTAAATTGATAATGTGCCTGAGATCGTTACAGATACTGAAAGCAATTTCCATGCACATAAGGAGAACGTATTTACGTATGAAATCAAATTATTTTCCCTTCATCCCATGACTCTCTTAGGGAGTTTCTTTGTAATTGATCAAGTACTGGATTTCTAGGGCACTTAGATGGCTATGGAAGAGTCCATTGAGATGTTTAATGAGAATCAGCCATTTTTTTTTGCTCATTTTATTTATTTATTTTTAATGGGAAGAAAAATAAAATGGGATAAAATTGATTGAGATATTATTTAGTAAAATTTGTTAATTAGTCTAAATGTAAATGTGATTTAGTTAGGTAATACTTCAGTGATAGCTTTTAATTCTGTAATGTGGATTGTTAAAAAAATATGTCAAGGTTGTTGTAACACCGACTGCTGCAAGGATGATGAAGGCACGATGAAGATAATAGAAATAAATCCTTTTAATAGATAATCCACAAGATGAAGAAGTTCTCACACACAGGGTAACATCAAACAATACCGGAGAAACTAAAGAAGGAACAGAGGAACTTAAATACACAGACCAAATGAGGATAAATAACTAACACAGGTGAACTAAATGAACTAATCAAAGGACAACAGAAACTAGGTCAAGACAAACATGAGGGAAGAAAACAAACTAAAAGTCCATGGAGGTCACAGAACTCCCCCCTCCTGGAAGGTGCGACCTCGCGCCGTGACGGGACGAACAAAGGAGGGGGGAGGGGGTTTGGGAGAAGGTCGAGGCAGTGGAGAAGGGCAGGCAGATAACCAGGGCCGACTGACAGCGGTGGAGCAGGTGGGAGAGGAGTTCGAGGCGGAGACAGAGGACCAAGGTGGAGCAGGAGGGAGGAGCCCAACAGAGCCGGTGGGACGGATCGACGAGGCGCAGCCGGAGGAGTAGAGTCTTGAGGCGATGGCGGGTCGACGACTGACCACGGCGGAGCCGGAGGGATAAGGGAGTTCGGTGGAGCTGGTGGACTGACGGACCACGGCGGAGAGGAGGGAGCTAGAAGCCATGGTGGAGCCACTGGGTCGATGGGCCGAGGTGGAGTCTGGGACTCAGAGGCTGGAGGCGAAGACGAGGGATCCTCCAGCCACAACGCCGATGGAGATTGGCAGACCCGCGGTGAACCCACATCAGAAATGGTGGGCTGAGTGGCTGATGGGACAGTGGAGGCTGATGAAGGCACGATGAAGATAGTAGAAATAAGTCCTTTTAATAGATAATCCACAAGATGAAGAAGTTCGAACACACAGGGTAACATCAAATAATACCGGACAAACTAAAGGAGGAACAGAGGAATTTAGGCCATGTCCACACGTACATGGTTATTTTTATAGAGTTTTTCCTTCCATTTAAAAAAAATCTCTGTCCACATGCAAACGCATGCTATGAAGCACTGTCAAGAGCATGCCAAACCAACAGGTGGCGATATAGTCTCAACCGTAAAGCCATGTCGGTCAATCAGAAGCTTGAAAAAGTTTCCAGTAGGCGGAGATGACAGCGCAGGCTCTGACGTCACAAGCCAAAAATTCCGGTTTCGCGGTCTACACGATAACACTGCAACCGGAGTTTTCAAAAATCTTCACCCTGGCAGGCGTTTTCAAAAATGTTTGGTTTCAGTGACCTGGTGCTGCGTTTGCGTGTGGACGAACAGCCAAACCACGTAGAAAAAGCTGCGGTTTTAAAAATAACCGCATTCGTGTGGACAGGGGCTTAAATACCAAAACAAATTAGGATAATTAACTAACACAGGTGAACTAAATGAACTAATCAAAGGACGACAGAAACTAGGTCAAGACAAACATGAGAGAAGAAAACAAATTAAAAGTCCATGCTGATGACAGTTGTAGATTTCTCCATTTCTCATACGCATACTGTCCATTTTGTGAATACTATCCATTCACAAAAATTTTTACATTTTTGACCTCATCATAAATCTTTTCTTATACAGTCATACAGTGTCTCTTTTTTTCTTTCACTTGATATAAAATAATATTTTGTTCTGATTAATATTTGACAGTGACATTTCTTGGTGTAATAAGAGTCCACTGAAGGCGAGCGTTGTGAGAACCCAAGTGCAGTTTTATTATATCCCGAAAGTGAGCAGATAAACAATAAACACAGACATGGCTTGGCTTGACTTGACTGGACTGGGTAAAACAAGAACATACACTTGGACACAACCCACCAACAGTAGTTACAGGCAACAAAGCTACACAAAAGACAATGGCAACATGAGAGCAAATTTTGCACAAGACTAAACGACTAAACAAGGAATACCTGTGAACAATCAAGACAATGACCCAATCACAAAATAGAACTAAGAACCACATGACCAAATCAACCAATAAGAACAAGACAACCAATTGCAAGATTACATAAGGGCATGGGCAACACATGTCAGGAACCATAAAACAAAATAAAAGACATGAAAATGTGAACATAAACCAAAGCCTGAAACCAAACTTGACATATCCCCCTCTCTAAGGGCAGCTTCCAATGCCCTAACAAACCACCCAAAACCAACAAAGAGTCTGGGAGGGTGGAGGACTGGAGGTCGTCCAGGGGGCGGGATGGAGAGCCAGGCTCATGCAGGGGAACTGTACCTGGATCATGGCATGGTGGCGATCCTGGAATGTGGAGCAGTGATGGAGACCATGGATCGTGGAGCAGAGGGCAAGACCATAGACCATGGAGCAGTGGGTCTTGGTGCAATGGTGAACCTGGGCCATGGAGCAGTGGTGGGCCTGGACCATGGAGCAGAGGGACATGGTGAAGTGGTGGACCTGGACCATGGGGCAATGGCAGACCTGGGCAGTGGAGCCATGGTGGACCTGGGCCATGGTGCAGAGGCAGACTTGAACCATGGAGCAGTGGCAGGCCTGGACTGTGGAGCATTGGCGGGCCTGGACCATGGAGCAGTGGTGGGTCTGGACCATGGAGCAAAGTTGGACCTGGACCATGGAACAGTGGAGAACCTGGACCATGGAGCAACCATGAAGGATTAACCAGGAGCAACTAGGTGTAGCCAGACACCAGGGTGGAGCCAGCAGAGCAGGAAGCCAGGGCGGAGAGCCGAAGACCATCAGGGTGGAGCAGGCTGGATTGAGGATCCCCACAGTGGAGCAGATAACCATCAGAGTGGAGGCGGCAACCAGAACGGAGTAGGTGACCACCCCAGGTCAGGAGGCCATAGCGAAGCAGAAACATGGACAGACCCACCTGGCTGTGACAGAACAGGCAGAGTTTGAGAGTGGCCTCCATGGCCGCGACATGAAAGGCAGAATATCTTTGAACAGCCTCAGTGGCCATTGCAATTCAGGCAGCGATTTCGTGAGTGGCCTCCATAGGCGCAACCGTCATCATAGGAATTACAGCTGACGGAGGGAGGTCCTCCTGGTTGGACAGTACTGAGACCATGGGGTTTGAGAGCATTGAGGCCACCAGGGTGCCAGCTGCTTGCACTGACATCATTGGAGGATCCATCACACTATATATACACTATAGTCCTCTGGCATGGTGGCCATGGTGTGACGAGCCTCTGATGTGGTGTGGCAGCCATGACGGCTCGAGACTCTGGAGTGGCAGCCGTGTTGGGTTGAGGCTCTGGCGTGGTGACAATCTTGGCTGATGACTCAGGTGTGGCAGCCATGATGTGTTGAGGCTCTGGCTTGGCAGGCATAATGTGAGCTGGCTTTGGCTTAGCGGGCATGGTGTGAACAGGCTCTGGCTTGGTGGGAATGACGTGAACAGGCTTTGGCTTGGCGGGCATGGTGTGAACAGGCTCTGGCTTGGTGGGAATGACGTGAACAGGCTTTGGCTTGGCGGGCATGGTGTGAACAGGCTCTGGCTTGGTGGGAATGACGTGAACAGGCTCTGGCTTGGCGGGCATGATGTGAGCAGGCTCTGGCTTGGCGGGCATAATGTGAGCTGACTTTGCTTGGTGTGCATGATGTGAACAGGCTTTGGCTTGGCGGGCATGATGTGAGCAGGCTCTGGCTTGGTGGGCATGACGTGAACATGCTCTGGCTTGGCGGGCATGATGTGAGCAGGCTCTGGCTTGGTGGGAATGACGTGAGCAGGCTCTGGCTTGGTGGGAATGACGTGAGCAGGCTCTGGCTTGACAAGCATGATGTGATCAGGCTTTGGCTTGGCAGGCATGATATGAGCATGCTCTGGCGTGGTGGTCGTGGCATGAATATATCCTGACATGACGGCCGGGGCGTGACATTTGTTTTTGGCTGCACTTAATTTGAAATGAAAACCCTCTATCATCCTTTACTCATAATTTAAAGACAGCACACACAAACCTGTACATGTACATGGGGTAATAAAAGTACTTTTGGAATAGTCCAAGATAACCAAAGAGTCTTAAGAATGAAAATTATCCCTCAAATCAAATAAAAACTTGGCATGTACCATAGTCCCTCTTATAATGCTTCCATGTCACTTAAAGGGATAGTGCACCCCAAAATGAAAATTTGATGTTTATCTGCTTACCCCCAGGGCATCCAAGATGTAGGTGATTTTGTTTCTTCAGTAGAACACAAATTATGATTTTTAAGTCCAGCCGTTGCAGTCTATCAGTCGTATAATGCATGGCAATGGTAACAAAATCTATGAGAGTAAAAAAAACATGCACAGACAAATCCAAAATAAACCGGATGCCTGTGCGCGCTCAAGGAAGTTGGACATAGTGCTGTATTAGAGGTAAAAAATGATATAAATACTGTTCGGTTTCTCGCACAAACCGATCGTTTCGTGTCTTAGGACATCAATGTGTCATCACGAGCTGCAGGGTTTAATTTGGATTTGTCTGTGCATGTTTTTTTTTACTCTCATATATTTTGTTACCATTGCCATGCATTATACGACTGATAGACTACAATGGCTGGACTTAAAAATCATAATTTGTGTTCTACTGAAGAAGCAAAGTCACCTACATCTTGGATGCCCTGGGGGTAAGCAGATAAACATCAAATTTTATTTTTGGGTGAACTATCCCTTTAAGTTAAAGCCCAGGGACAAGCGGATAACTTTCATCAGTGCAGTGTTGAATGCAATCATTTTTATTTCTGATTTGCTAACTGCTGGTCTTTGCTGGTCTGTGATAGCTGAATTGTCAGCTATCATAATATGTGGCCTCTCCTTTTTTCCATGTCATACAATTTGTGTACATTTTTTAAACCCTTAGTCAAACTTTAATTTGACATGCTATATTGAAAACATACAGTCCTCTAAACCTTTTATTTATTTTTTCAAGGGGGTGTCACTCGAAGAACATCAGCAAGTAAAAAACATTTTCTTTTAATACTACAGTACTTTTTTATAGAGTGGAATATTAGTTTAAGAGTCCATGTTTCATGAGTGCAGATAAAGAACTGTTGATCAGTATCTCTCCATTATTATACGTAGCCTATGTGCTATTTGAACCTGTGGACTCAAATGTAGGGAGAATTAAAATAAAAGACAGCATTGTTGTGGGATTTAATCCAACTTTGCCAGCCAAAACCTCAGAATATTCCATGGTGTCACATAATACTGTCAGTTTCCTTTTGGAAGTGCCAGCGTAGAAGTGAGGTGGCAAGCTGGAGTTACCTGGCAAACAGCGTGTATGTCCTTTCTTTCTTTCTTTCTTT